CCCCACCACTCCCTTTGCTTCCTCGCCGGCGACAAGCAAAACCCTAGCCATGGGGCTCTTCGGCAGCAGCAAGGGCAAGGGCGCCGGTGCATCATCTTCTCGTGCCCTCTCTCCCCCCTTCTCCTTCGACGCCAGCATGTGATCACTCAGGACGGCAGCGCCTGCACACCCCGGTGCACCAAGCTTGGTGGCACTGGGAGTTCAGGCAACCACTGCCCTACCCAGATGTCACGCTGCCACACCACCGGCACCTAGATCCGGATCGGATGCCGGTGCCGGCAGTGCCACAGTCACAGCGGGCGCACGACGAGGAGGTGCGCAGGCGCCGGACGCAGCTCACGCCGGCGCAACGACGCATGCCAGAGTACGCCGCGGACTTCCCCAACTGGGAGGCCTGGTTTTCCCTTGAACAGGAGGAGCAACAACGGCGAGGCGTGCTGCACCACCATGCCAATCCCGTGCCTCCCCCCGTCATCAAGCCTGAGAAGGAGGAAGCCGAGGCGGTGTACCAGGAGGCGCTGGCGGAGGCCTTTGCCATCTCCATCGAATTGGAGAAGCGGAAGGCCGAAGCAGCAACAGCTGAGGAGGTCGCGTTCGAGGCGGAGATGACGGAGGCCATGGCCCTCTCTGTTGCAGGCGACTGCGTGGTGCTGCCATCTCCGCCACCGCTCACCCTGACGGCGCCTGCTCCTGAGTCGGCCGAGAGGTACGCCTGGACCGGCCAGGTGCAGGAGTTCGTCAACGCCCCCTCCCCCGCCCCATTTGGCTTGGTGCCATGCCAGAGCAGGAGGCCATGTACCTCCAGCATTGCGGCAGCGCCGACTGGCGGGAGAGCGCACCCGCGTGGAGCAGCTCATGCAGAGGGAGCGGGAGGCGGAGGAGGAGGAGCGCGCCCGCGCCGCCGCATTGCCTCAGTCGCAGCCGCAGCAGACGCCGGAGGAGGCAGCCCTGGCGGCCCACCAAGATGCCTTTGGTTGGGCCGGCCCGTCTCCCGTCTTCATCGACCTCACCGGCGACGATGACGACGACAAGTTCAAGGGCAAGGGCAGTCTAGGGCTGCGAGGCCGGCCAATTTTTTTATGTTTTAATTAATGTTTAATTAAGTTTAAGTGGACTTTGGCCGGCAGTTGACTGGCCAGTTATTATATATTAAACTTTATTTTCTGTGCCATATGTTTTTTTTTCTTCACACGCAAATTTGTGTCCGCCTCCCATTGAGCGGTCAAGTCAACCCATATAGAAAAGCGGACACGGACGTCCATATGGCCGACCCAAACGGACGAAAAACGGAAAAAGTCCGCGTCCGTTTGGATCCCCCCGTTGGAGTTGCTCTTAGATCACTAAAATAGTGATCTAAACGCTCTTATATTAATTTACAAAGGAAGTAAATAGTGAACACACTCGCAAGCTAGACTCACCTTGAGTAGCATGTGAGCTGCACCTAGATGACATCAAGCTTTTGCCCAATGAGGTCGCAACACTGCACCTTTGAGCATCTGACAAAGCACCTTTACCATCACCCATGAGCAGTTTACAAAGACTCCTGTTGCAATACAGTGTTGCACACTCTTCATGACATATTGCCTATGGTCAACATGAGAGGTCATGAAAATATTATTTTCAACTTAAATCACCATACACAGGAGTTTTATTCAACGCTTATTTATGGACAAGTAGAAAACCGTGCAAAAACTTTACTACTAAGTAATACTGCAGAATGGAGTTATGGAACACATTCTCTTACTAGACTGATTGGCTTGTTCAATTTACATTTACGGTCAATTTGAATATGTAGTTAACAATCCTAAGTAGACATCATCACATCAGATGTAGACAGTGGGCAACCATCAAAATTTCATATTAACTGAGAAGAAGAAAAAGTTTTCATGGATTTTGGAGATGTAAGAAGTCAAACAAAGAATGCCAAATATGTTTCTCAAGTGAAGTCAAATTGACTTAATATGCATGATCCACGTCGGTTAAGATTAGTCCAAATGAGTGACCAATCAAGTGAAGTACATAGATGGCATACTAACAAGTTATCTCTAGATCGCTACCTACCATATACATGTGACCCATTATTGGTTATGCCATGTCCATAATAATATGAGTCGAGAACCAGACAAACATTGTTTTTATTCATTAATTGCCGCGCCCTAAATGGGCACCCAAGAGAAAATTCTCTCATTCTACCACATAATTATTAAGATGCGTGAATTTCAGCACATTCTTAAAGTAAGGTTGCTTCAAATTATATTAATCTAGATGAGTCTAGCTCAGATCTAGTTATAATTTTAGTCGGTCTTCAGTCAGATATATTCATGGCTGCATACACAACACTAGATTTAAAATACATGGAGCTCGTGGAATCATTGTCCCCCGGTTACACGTTTCTTTTCTGGATCACCAGATAATATATATATTTCTGTTTTTGTGCCATTCACAGCTCACATGTTACATTGAAAAAACTGTTTGATATCCGAAGTGGTTAAATAATGTAAAGTACTACATAGAGTATATAGTAAGAAACCTAGTTAGTTAGAAAAGAAACTGATTTTAATTCAGTTCCCATTGACA